ATTTATATAGTCCAATATCATAAATCTCAAATTTCCCTCAAAGGACTGGTGATATTTTGTTTTTCTTATTGTCAGCAAATTAATAAACCCACCACTGAACTGATCCATCTAACAAGTATTGTCTGCGTCACCCACACATAGTTCTTTTTCCTCTCCTGTCTTTTTGTCCCATATTAAACGTGTTTCTTCATTACTATGACAACACAGTTTCACATACACAGCCCTACTGACCCACATATTCATTAGAAGACCAAATGTATATTAATCTGCAGCTGAAAATAGTTCTCAACAATATTTTATTCTTGTTTCAGTAATGTTTGCTAAAATGACAGTGTGAAGGTGTTGTAGGAAATTATTAAACCCTTTTAATATCTTGACATTTTCAACAAAAATGAGGTCCATTGTTGTCCTGGAACTATTAGGAATACAGCACTATTGCATGTTTGCTAAAATGCCAGTGTGAAGGTGTTGTAGGAAATTATTAAACCCTTTTAATATCTTGACATTTTCAACAAAAATGAGGTCCATTGCTGAGCAGGAACTATTAGGAATACAGCACTATTGAACTGGATAAAGGTGGCACAGTGGAACAGTGGGTAGCGCTGCTGCTTCACAGCACGAAACGTCTGGGTTCGATCCTGGACCGACCTGGCGCCTTTCTGTGTGGAGTCTGCATGTTCTCCCTGTGCCTGCATGGGTTCTTTCCAGGTACTCTGGCTTCCTCCCACAATCCAAAGACGTGCATCTTATGTCGTATGGCGACTCTGAACTGCCCGTAGGAGTGTGTGTGGTTGTTTGCCTACATCTCAGCCCTGTGACAGACTGGCGACCTGTCCAGGGTGGACGTCGCCTATGGCCCAATCACAGCTGAGATTGGCTCCAGCTGTCAAAGTACTATGCACCAAATCTTTTCAGTCCACCACTGAAAATAGTCCACAGCAAATGCAGTTTATGCTGCTTGGCACTGAGAGCCACAGACAGACTAACGTTGTTTTTGCTGCTTCATGGGATTTATAAAAAATGAGATAAATATTTAATATCACCAGCTTTATCCTCTAAATATACAACCTTGAAACGATGGTAAAGATGAACCTTGACTGCATTATGTGTTTAATCACAAACCTCTGTCAATGCTAGAGGCACGGAGAGGTACAGAGTGAGCTGTTTGAGGACGTTCCTGTGATTTGCTCCTGCACCTGACCTTGCTTACCAATAATTATCTATAAATGTAATTACAGGGGTGGCTGAGCAAGCAGGCAGTTTATGTTGCCTGTGTAGCCTCCGAGAATGTATACCTCATGTGTGCTAAAACCCCAGGGATAGCACTATGTTACATTATGTTATTATTGTGTGTGTGCATTCCCTCCTCTCGGTGCAGATTTATATCACTCACATTCCACTGCAGATTTATGTGGCCCCTTGTGCTGCATTCTCTAGTCAAGATCTGCCCTCTAAATGAGAAGAGCCTCCACATGCATAGTGTATGAGAGGATGGGACACGTTGTTTTATGCACAACCTCTGCTACACAGCTTAAGGCTCAGCTTAAAGGTGGAAAAGTCTCTACACAGCTTAAGGCTCAGCTTAAAGGTTGAAAAGTCGACACACATCCTTTTTCTTGTTTCTTTTCATGACCAGTAACGTGATCGATCAGTGGTTTTGAGTCAAAGCATGTGCTTTGCATTTGTCTGGAGGTACTAATACAAAGACAAAAGTAAAACTACATTGTTGTCAGCGTGAATTCTTGACTAATGGTACTTTCCTACCAGACGTGTTACCTACTGGAGCATTAACAGGATGTGGTGTGCAAAGTGACTCATAACTAGGGAGGGGGCGGACTGAGGGGGATCTTCTCTAACAAGGTTTGTAGTAATTTTGTGTTTCTGTGATGTTCTTTGCCATGTTCCCTGGCTTAGCAGCACAGGAAACTGTCACACAGAGCGTTAAAAAAAGATAACAGGTGACAGCTCTGACAGGTTGAATGCAGTTTGCTATTTACTGAGAAAAAACTGTGTCAAACTAGAAATGAAACACTAATCTGATGCAGAATGTGTTCCAGGAAAAAAAATACAAATAGCAGTGGTTGATTTCTTTTCTTGTGACTGATTTTGTTAGACATTGATTTAACTGTGCAGCTCTAGGTTTGCCATCTACTCCCATTAGCTTTGCCATATAATAGTTAGTAATAAAGCGTGCAGCTGGGTTAGACTTGACTTGATATGTCACAAAAATGAGGACCTGATAAATTCCCAAGACAATAAGTAATAAACAAGACAGCAGCAGCCAGACGTTGCATTGCTGCAAAGCTTGAATTAGGCCCTCAACAAACACTTTTCATTGTAACTTTATCTGTTTAAAGTCTATAAAATGTTATACAATAGGGAAAACCTAAAAATATTCCATTTAAAATAGGGAGAAAAACAGCAAATTCTCATGTTTGAAAAGTTGGAAACAGTTAATTTATTATCAAAATTGTTGGTCTTTTTTTTGTAGTTTGATTAGTTTTCTAATTAGTTTAGCATTAGCTTGACTATTCAGTTATTAGGCCTGGCATCAAAATGACAGTTTTCATTTATGTATAATTTAAAAAAGGAATAATACAGCTGAAAGTAAAATGTTCAGGTGCATCATCATTTTGATCAGCCTTCAGAGAGAGTTTGCTTATGAAGCTATGACTTGCCCTTCAGGACAGACTTGGTGTGTTTCGTCTTCTGTCGGTGTCATGGAAGAAGGGCAGCACAGCAAGATGGGAGCCTTTAATGGTCAGAGGGTCAACTGTCAAAGCCAAGTGGTGTTGTGGGAACATCTGCTTTTACTGTTCTGCCATGGCAAGGTCCTTTATATAGCAGGATGTAACAGTGAGTGAAGGGCACATATGGGGGCGCTTTGCTAGTACAGATCATGGGAATCAGTGTGAGGTCTAATAAAACTAAAACTCAGCTGCTCTAGCTGTCTTCTCTAGTGGAGCCCTCCCACAACCAGTCTGCTGATTCTCATTATTCAGACAGATGGAGATTAAAATTTTAAACAGCTGCCCTTTCACCTAATGTTGCTCTTCGTTTCCAAATAGGCCTGTCTCTCCTCCAGGCTATGTGAGTTAATATTAAAGTTACGAATCCAAACAGAGCTAGCCAGAAATATGTATTTTATTAGGCAGAGAAAATACTGTTCAGAAGAAGAGAAACACCAAAAATAAATTTCTGTCATACATCGATTCCTCTCATACGACACAGGAAGGTCATAGACCACAGAGAGAGAAACATTGCCGTTCTATGTGTGGATGGCCTCCATGAAGAGGTCACGTGGATAGTGTAGCACAGTCAAAAGCACAGCACAGCTCAGGTCTTATTAAAGCAGAGCGCGATGGCTTCCAGTAAGCACATCTGTGGCAGTTTTTGATTCTCCACACTATGAAAGCACAGAGAGACGAGAGAGCAGGTGGCATTGTGGTGGGGGTTCTTTTGTTCTCTTCTGACAAGCAAACCACCAAACATGAGGCGTCAAAGTGAATAACATGAGCCAAAAGGTGGTAAATACACAAAGAAGGCTGGTCTTCTGTGTAAAGAGAAAGATGATCTTGAAAAAGGGCCTCGGCACAGAATATAGCCTCAGCCGAGTGATTAAAATCTCAGAGAGGGAAGGCAGTTGGGGTCGGCTTTTGGCAGCTTGCTCTGCGGATCTCAATGGGCCGGTGGGGGAAGATAGGTCCTTGCTTTCCCTTGAAACCAGAGCTATAACAAGGCATAACACCTTGCTCTGACTCCCAACACACATACATGCACACGAACTGACACACATGCAGCCCCTTCAGACTTTTCAATGTGACACAATGAGATAAGGACACACACATGCAGACAAGTACAAAGGCAGAACTTCACAAAGTCATGCAGATGGAATGTTTTGATATTTGTAGCTGAGTCTGACTCAAGCATGTTTGCCTGGCTGGCCTGAAGCCTATTTTTATTTCATTAGAAGGGATTTATGGGAACTACTGTAAGTCAGTGTAGGCCATCGTGACAGACTAGAGATGTGCTTCTGGAAAATTTAAGCACATCAGTCTTTTGTTAGGCAAAGAAAGAGCTAAGGGGCTTTACAAAGCTCAGTGTCACAAACTCTGGTATTTTCCTCACATCACTTTTAAAATTCTAGATGAGAACTGTTCCTTGTCTCTTATGGAGGCAGCCTGATCCCCATCCAATTACACAAGACTTCAAAATAACTTCAGGAAATAACGCTGGAGAGGGCATCCTATGCACTGACACTTTTTAAATGAGTCATGTCTTAAATTAGTAGTCTGGCATTTTGGGAAATGCGCTCATTCATATTCTTGATGATATGGAGAAGATCAATACCGCTTTCGTTACTGTCTGGTAAATATAAGGTGACAGCCACAGCTCTTAAGCTTTGCTGTAGCAAAATATGTGTATATACTGTACAGTAGTGTCTCGTTTGTTTAGTCTGATGATACTTCTACCCCAGGGAGTTAGTGGTATGATTATGGAGTACCTAAACTAATTACAGCGAACAAAAATTATATTTTATAAGGAAGAAAATATCCACTTCTTGAGTCTGTTGTATACCTGAACACTGTGTGCAAACTAACAAGTTAGCTGAGAAGTCAAAACAGGTAGTGGATCAACACCTGAAAAAGTTGGCTACAAGTAATTGATAAATGGCTGAAACAGATAGCAAAGTTAACAGATCAACTGTTGAAATCATTAGCTAAACGTAATGGATAAATTGTGGAATCAGTGTGTCTGATAAGTTTTGGGAAATGGCTAAAATACAGTTAAAAGTCCTGTATTAATGGAATCTTGTCATTTCAGGTGGTAGTAGTATAAATGGAAACAGATCTAAACATTAGTTCAGCTGTATGTAAAAACTGATTTTTATTCAAGCTAAATAACATCAAGTTTAAAATGTATTCAAATGAACACATTTAGGACATGATGGGTGGTGTAGATAGACTAAAACTGCAACTTGACATTTTCACATTTCAATGTTTTTAGTGACATTTGGGGATGTTGGCAGGCAGATATTGTTCTCTTTACACAGAGCCAGGCTAGCTGCTTTCTCCTGCTTCCAGTTCCTATGCTAAGCTGAGCAAACCAGCAGCTGGCTGTTTTCATATTTACTATACACACATGAAAGTGGCATTGATTTTCTCATCTAACCTTTGGCATGGAAATTATCAAGCATATGTGCCCCAAAATACTCATTTGTTCCTTAAACAAGATCGAAATGGAAATGGTTGTTGATTGATAGTATGCTTGAATTCACTTACTTGATGATTAAAGTAATTTTTGTACAGCCAAATCATAACATATTCCACTAATATCCACTTTAAATAGTTCTAATGGTTTCCCTCTTAAGAGAGCATCAGTGCACCCCAAGCAGCTCAACAGAGGAAGTGGTTTGAATATTCAGTACAGTGTAATTAAAAAGAATGGTTAGAAGATGTTGTAATTCTACAAACATAATGGTGTAACCTCAAGAACAATGGTGGTGAATGCTCATCAGTGTTCAGGCAGTGAGGCGTGCTGATTAGATGGTTCAGACAAATGTCATTACATCGCTGTAACCGGTCGAGTCGAGGGAGCAGTCATCGTCATCATCAAGCTCACAGGTTCTCATTGGTGTCGTGTTGGCACTGGCTGTCGGGCAAAGGGTTCAGGAAGGGCAACTCCTCGCCGCAGCCATGCAGCTTCAGGACCCGACTGCTCAGGTCCAAGCAGCACTGTGAGAGGATACACATGGCGGAACAAAATTAGTACACTAAATAATTAATTACAGGATTCCAGCTGGGGGTAGGGAGATGATTTACAGCATGGGAAATGATAAACATATATTCTGCAACATCAAAGCTTCTCTCAGGCTTTTCAATAATCCTTCACAATTTCTTGGTTCTTGGATGGTTTCACCTTTTGAGGCCTGAAAGAATTTCCCAAAAATGCGTATCTGAAGAGAGAAAACCAGTCTTTTAATAGCCTTGATACGGTGACAAGGGATCGTAAGTACAAGTGTATTTTATTGTTCATTGTGTGTGGAAGAGGTTCTGCCCTTCTGTCTTTGTTTTCTTTATGTTTATCCATTAAAGAGCTGAAAAGGTGAACCGAAATTTAACAAATAATGTTTATAATGAAACTCAGCTTTTAGCTAAATATAACAAGTTATGTAAGACATCACCTTGGGACCAAGCAATTAGCCAATCAGTCAGAAATAATAACAGCTTTAGACTAACTATTACATCCACAATATCTGTTCGGATATAACCTCTGCATCCTTCACACTAACCCTTAGTTGGCTGTTGCTGAGTATGCACTAAACACTAAGATCTGAAATCCTTTCTAGACAGCTGAATAATATCTTTGCATAGACCTGCATTAACTGATTTGTTTCACCAGTCACAGGTTGTTTATATGTCTGTCCACTTAGTTTAAACAATTTCAACAAATTTAGTTTCCAAAAGCAGACAAATGTTATTTTCCAGGTTGCTATGTAGATAAATAAGTTCATTTACTTCCCATATAAAATGCTGTAATGATTTATGATTACAATATGGATAAATAATCTCAGTAGTGATGACAGTCATCCAGGAAAAAGCAGCAATATGTTATAAGGCAGTTCCTCGAACAACATTTCAATAAATAAGTTGCTTAATAAAGATCTGCAGAGAAGAACAAGTACAGGAAAGATCTCGGAGGGAAATGTTCCACTTACATTACAGAGTCCTTAAGGGTTAATTTACTAAATTAGAGCTCATGTTCCTTTTATACTCTGAAGTCCCATTCTGATTAGATTTTTAGGACAATACTAGCCAGGCACAGCATCTGTAATGTCGGAATAAGAGCGAGCACTACCTCCAGATTGCCTCTAAATTACATTACTCAGATGTGCAAACTCAAATTTTCACATCACAGGATGTCCTCAGTTGGTTCTTATCTAGGTTTAACCTGCACAGCTGGCAGCTGATAGATAGCAGTACCACTAAAGTAACACTGCCCAGCTTTTCCCCTAGATCACGCTGCATATGCTACATCTATTTCTACGAGTTTCTGAGCCCTCGTCTTTTGTGCCAGGATGTTCTTTTTCCTACTAGCATTTATTTTTATTCTTCCCTTTTGCTTATTTAAATGCTTGTGACCATATCAGGGACCTGGGTTTTAGAAGAAAAACACTCCAAAATACACATGATCAGACAAAAGATTCAGGACCTTACTTTAAGTTCCAACAGAGTCTGAAGACCCAGGCACAGCTCAAACACCTCATCCTCTGAAAGTGAAAAAGATAAGGGTGAAGGGAAAGGGGGGGGAAAAGAGACTGAATGTTATAGCAGCCATATGAAAGCCACTCCTGATAAGACCCTCATCAGACTATGCATACTTTAGCCAGAATCCAGGTTAAATCATCAGCACAACTAAATGATTCCTTCTAGTGTTAATGAGCACTAATAGGCATATGTTCATGTGAGGGCGGGAGTGAGTTCTGTTGAGCAGTGTTTTGGAGTCGAGTGGAAATGTAATGTCCATAAAAGAGTCAGGCTCTGGTCTTAGGGTTTGAATTAAAGTCATTATTCACTGGTGAGGAGGACCTAAGGTGTAGGTTCAAATAGGAACCGCAGCATCTTTGTGGGATAACTGTCCTTGTAACAAGAGGAAGATCAGGCTAAATCTTAAAAGTTTAGGACATTTTAAGTCAAGTAAGGGCAAAATCATACACCCATAATTTTATGGTTTGGAGCTCTGGAAGTAAGAATTAACTTTGAAGGAGCAGTTAGACCATTTAGGAAATATAGGTAAGTGCCAAAATAATCAGATCAATAGCACATTCAGCTCTGACTTTTAAATAGTGTACGTAGTAGCTAGATCCATCTATAATGCTTATCCTGAAATGGGTCACTGGATCCAATCCAGCTGACACTGGGCAAGAGGCAGGGTACATACACCCTGGACAGGTCGCCAGTCTTTCACAGCGCTGACAACCACACACACCCCTACGGGCAATTCAAAGTCACCTAAGCTGCGTGGTTCTGAACTGTTGGAGGAAGCCAGAGTACCTAGAGAGAACGCATGTAGGCACAGGGAGAACATGCAAACTGCGCACAGAAAGGCACCAGGTCGGCCAGGGTTAAAACCTGGAACCTTCTTGCTGTGAGGTGACAGTGCTAACCACTGCGTCACTATGCCACCCTAATACTTAGTTAGTTCAGCTTATTAAAGAGTAGAAACAAGGGGAAACAGCTATCCTGGGTCTGTTCAGTGGTAATGAAATCCATCTTCCAGCTACTCCACAGCCCAGTAATTAACATATTATACTTGTTCTCTGTAATTAAATTAAAAACCAAAGTGTAAAAAGATTTTGTTACCATTTGTTTCCCACTGCTGATAATCTTTGTGCTAAGCTACCAGTCTGGCTGGCAGAGTGAGAGAATTACAGGAGTGAAACAAACACTCTCAAAGATGAAATGAATATATCTACAGCCTTACCGGTGGAGCTGACAAACTCTTGATGACACTTGACATTTTGGGTGTTTTTGAAGCAGTTTTTGTGTGTAGTAATAAAGTTCAGTGATGTACTATTAGCATAAACAGTAAACATCTCATCAAAATGACTGCAGGATAGGTGGTCTCTTGTGAATGTGTGGAGATTGCCCTAGGTGGGCGTTAGATCCCCGGCCTGAGTTATAACCCCCTTCCTGACTCCCCTCTGTTACTAACAGATACCTCAGGCAAAGCTAAATGTGACTTGTGTGGAGGAATGTAATGTGTGCAGTCCTAACACAGGACTTTCCCCTATGCATGCTTTTCCCCTCTCACTTAATATATGACTCATAAACTCATAAACTAGCGAGTGAGTCTACAGAAGAGCTAGACAGACTGAGGAGTGTGGTTCTCGGGTCCTGTTTGAATGCTATGCCACTGCTTGATTGTTACAAAGGCACTTTCTTGCAATTATTCAGAGTAAAACTACTGCTGAAGGCAGTATTGCTGTGCCGTGTGTTCATGGTTCTTGCTGAAAACTGTGACAGTCCACAGTACAGTGGTATAACTGGCACAGCTCTAAGCTCTATTCATGAAAGTGTTTACTCTTGCTGTTTATACCCACGAAGGAGTTTTTCTTCCCTGGATAAAATGTTCTCCAGCACAGGAAGTAATAGGTCTTACATAAGAAGAAAAGCACAAACATAGTGAAAAACCACCTGATGTTATTAGAACAGCAGATGTAAACACTTTCATAAAGAGTCTGTACAATACTGTACAACACATTTATTTGCCCAAATATTAATAGTTACTGCCTTAACCTATCGTCCTGCCTAGATGTCAGTTAGTTTAATGGTCATTTCTGCCTGAATGCGTCGAGAGGACAAGGCAGAGTGTACTGTCTGAATGTTAAGTACGGAGATGAGCATGTATCCAACTCAGTCTCTTTGAAAAGAATCACTGCAAAACAGACAGAGCTGGTGAACTCGTGTTGTTCTTCTAGAGTTGTGGCTGCATTTATGCACATCACCACATCATACATAGTGTTTTTAGCCATGCAAGCTGCAATATAAATGGATGGATTGTCATTAGGCAGAGAACAAACCATAAGGTTCACATCTGTGGTTTTAGAGAGAAATGTCTTGACAATTTACTAGACATGCTGCATCTCAACATTTACTGGATGGATTGACACAAAAATGTTTTAAAGCCCTTTATGGTTGTCAGATGATAAATATAACTGACTTTGGTGATGCCCAGTATTTTGGTTTATGTTCAAAAACCCACAAAACCAATTACATTCCTACAGCCTCAGATGTACTTTGTGTTTAGTGCTAATTCATAAATGTTAGCATGTTAACAGGCTAAACTATGATGGTAAACATTGTAAATGTAATACCTGCTAAACATCAGCATGCTGATGCTGTGAACATGTTAGCTGATGGTAGCATTGAGCTCAAAGTTCATCTGCGGCTAAGTACAGCCCCACAGAGCTGCTATAGTCTTGTTAACAACAAATTAAAAGCTTATTTTCCTGATCATTTTTGATTTGTTATTCTTACCTTTCACATAGGCTGAACACCGTACAGCCTGTTTGCCCAGCTGCAGCTGCAGACCCGTGACTGTGTTGCTCACACCACATGGTGAACTGTCCTGACTGGGCACCAGTCTTATAACACACAAAGAGACAGTCACAAAAATGTTATCTTCAATTGGGCCATTTAATTTAATTTGATAAAATATCTCCGAGGAACAGATTCCCTCTTTATTTGTCATTCTGTGATAAATTGCATCAGGTTTTTATTAAAATATCAATCCAAAGTTTGTGCAGCTGAGACTTTATTAACTAGGATTTCAAAGACAAACAGCAGATTAATTTTACAGCATCTGCTGTTTACCTGTCTGATTGCAAATTGAGATGACTCATAAGTCTGAGATGCCTCTGCCTTAAGAGCCTATAGTCTGTCAGTATCGAAATTCTCCTTACAATCAATGTTTTCCATTCAGTTTATTGCTATTAATTTATCTTTACCCTCTGTTTCTAAACTTTTCTTAAGACATCTTTTATCATTTTGTTCATTTGATTGTCTAACCACCACATTTTAAAAGGTGGCAGGTACAGATATGTGTTGCGGGTGTGTTTGCAGTTTAGAGCAGGGTGTTTCTTACCCCAGCCTCTGGCAGCAGGAGGTGGAGATGTGGTTATACTGGCTGCCAGTGTTGATGGACACCTTGACTTCAGTCTCATAGCACTGTGGAGGAGACAGAGGTGGGGGCAGGTTTTACTGTGGCAGTGTGATTCACCAACACCCCCCAACCCCTGTTCTTTATTATTGGCTGCTTCAGTTCAATTTGCTGACTACATTTCCTAACAAGATGCTGATTCTTTAGTTTGTTGAATGTACTTTGATTTTTGAACTTAATGAACTCAAATGCTTTACTAGTACATGAAAGATTAACCAAATGAGTCGGTAGAGACCAAAAACAGAGCTAAAAGTGAGTGAAGACTGGGCATTCATCAGATGACTGGAAACACAAATGTTTGCCTGTTTACTCCCCCAAAAATAAAGTAATGCAGGTTTAAAGCAGTGTTTATTTCCTTGTGTAGAATTAAATCTGAAGAATGATATCACTTTTGTTTCATTAGCCCAATTTGATGCTACCACCAGGAGGCAGTGACCTTATCTTCATTTAGTGAATAGACTGAGAGAAAGGTGGAATAATCTGGCTTAAAAAATGCTTCTAATAACACCTCTAAAGTTCAGAAATTAACATGTTATATGTAGTTTGTGTAAAAAGTGTCAAATCTGCTACCTAGTTCTGCCTTTTGCTAAGCTAAGCTCATGTATCCTCGCTGTAGCTTCCCTTCCCTTCATCTTTCACCTATCCCTCCCCCTCATTTATAGTAGAAATGCTAACAGGCAGCATCACCTACTTTCCACTGACATTTCTTCTCTTCCGCATCTCACAGTTGTTCGGCTGCCTGGAGGGCACTTCATGTCACAGACATGTTTCATCTCTAGTGCAGCAGATTGTCCTGGTTTATGGAAACTCTTGTCCTTATTGGCCTTTAGCTGTTCTCTTAGTTGTTGTCATGCAGCATGTACACAACATGGGAACATGTTTGTGGAAAGAGATTAAAGTAATAATGATGAATGTGTTCAGAACATATGGCAGCTCTGCAGGAATATTTTGTGCACTTTAAATAGATTTAAAGAGTTCAGAGCTGCAGCGACTGGTCAATTAATCCATTGCCCAAAATTTAATCCGCAGCATAGTTTTATAATCAATAATTGTTAAGGTTGTTTTTATCTTTTTTTTTTTTTTAATTGTTTCAGCTTCATAAATGTGAATATTTTTATTTGATTTTATTACTAATCTAAGATAATTTGCTTTAGGTTTTGAACTGTTAGTTGAACAATGCAAGGCATTTAAAAACATCACCATGGCTGCTGGGAAACGTTGATGGGCAGTTTCCACAATTTGCTGCTCACGCTTTAAAATGATCAATAGAATAATCAATACTAGTCATTATTTGCACCTATCCTGTCTCCCGAGGTCTGTATAACTTTCTCTTCACATCATCTCCTTCATAAGTTAATAGCTTATCCACTTGACCCAAGAATGTTTCCCCTCATGGAAATAAACACATTCAGTTTCCATGCACCTTGTTTTGATCCCTCACACTGTGCACAATCTGAGCTTTGTCCTCAGGCACATCGGCTTATCAGCAGGCCCACAACCCTGCTCCTTTGTCTCAGTCCTGGTGGTGCAAAAAACCCCTTGCTCTCCCTGAAGTTTAAAAATAGCAACTGAATGAGTAACAGAGGAACACTATGTATTTAATAAGTTGATGATAAAGCCCAGCAAAGCTCAATGAGTAATAGAGGGAAATGCTGATTCTACTAGAAAAGTGCATTACTGGTTATAAAAACACTCACACAGGATTCACAAAAGCTGTGCTACAAACCTTAAACAGGGACCAGGAGTTGTTTGATCACTGTTAAGGTTTCATTCAAATGGTGGAAAGTGGCTCTATGCTTCTCATACATGGCTTTAGCTCCTGGATGTTCAGTAGGTTTGATGGCTTGAAGCAGTTAGTGTAGATGTGTTTTCATTGCTTTTGAACAGAACATCTTACAAACTAATTCTGTTGGATCATAACCCGACACTGAAAAAGCTGATGCTGCTTACATTTTTATGCCTTTTTGCTGGTGATAGCTGTGGCTGGAGGCATTATGTTTTAGGGCTGGCCGGCCCATTCTCGTGAACGCAATGTTTCAGGGATATCTTGAGGGAATTTCGTCAAATTTGGCACAAATATCCACTTCATTTAATTGTGGTGGTCAAAGGTCAAGGTCACTGTATCCTCACATCTGTCCCATTCTTGTGAATACACTATAACTGGATGGTGGAGGCATACAACCGCAAAGTGGTAATTTTAGTTTTCCCTTGTTGTGCTCAGCCCCACATAGATTATCAATTTTAAGAGTGTGGTCGATTATCCCCCCGTAACATAAGATGGACTTGGAGCCATCATGACTCAGTTAACTGTTTGTCTGATCTAATCCAACAGCCGCTGGCTGCTCTTGGGCTTTTTATGTTTTACAAAGAGAATAAATGAAGAGTAGGCTTTAAATGATGAGTCATGAGAGCAGAATGGTGCTGTCTTTGTATCTTCTCTTGTTTTTGGTGTTTATGCAGTAGTGGAAAGTGTCCAAGCATTGAATGTTGGTGATGATAGGGTGCAGTACCTTGCATTGAACAACCAGAGCTGTGAGGAGGGTCGAGCTCTCCGTGCCCTCAGCCTTTTCAGTTGTCTGTCTTGCTCCGGCTTCGCTGCTGTCATCTTCCTCATCCGACCGTAGGCTTCTCTCACTTTCCTCCAGAGACTCCCGCTCCTCTGTGGAGTCATTGGCTGTGCTCTCGCTCCTCTCCTCATCAGTTGGTCCATCCTTGGTGTCAGCCAGTGGGGAGCGAGCTCTGTTGCCAGGATCCCAGGCCTCCCCGCGCAACCGCGTAATGTTTCCCTCCAGCAAGCGGCGCTGGACAATGCTGTGAGGTTGCTAGAGGGGGGAGACACACAGGAAATAGATGTCAGCTGACAGGGCTTGGATTTTATCATGTTGAAAAGATAAATAGTTATCTTTTATCTTTTAGTCTCATAAAAAACAAGAGCACGACATGCAGAGTGTGTTAATTAAACATGTCAGCGTAAGTCTTGTGGCCCAGGAGAAGTGTATCTGTTCAGCTGGAATATTTGTAAGATTTGCTTACTTTTCCAAACTATAGAGGTAATTGCAACTGTGAATGCTGAAGTTTAAGCACACATAGCACTGGTTGTGGCACTTCAGAGGTTTCTATGTTATTCCTTTTCATCCAGTAGCTTTCCAAACTTTCTGAAATGAAAGTCATATGATGTTATGAAAGCCAATTCAAGAGATATGTTCCCACTGTTATCACTGCCAGCTCACATAAAAGCATTTCTGCAATGATATTTTCTTTGGCCCAGAAGCCCAGTGGCCATATTTTGTGCTAGAATGCACCTTTTTGGGCATCACTGGGAATTTTTCAAAAGATGAAGGCAGCTGTAAATTCAGTGCACAAAGCACTAGAGTGTTCTTTATACTTCCAGAAACACGTTCACGCTTTAGGATAAAATGTGTATGTTGCTATATACTGTACAGTTAGTATGCTGATTTTAATTAATGCCAGATATCCACTGTTTCAGAATAACGTCTTTCTGCCTCATATTAAAAGTTGTTCTACCAGTGCTCAGTCTGGGTGCAGCCTTTCAGACATCATGCTTTTGTAAAGAGCAGGTCACTGCATTAATAAAAGATGTTCAAATGAACAAATGTGTATCATATAAACAGCCTATGAGTCATTATACAGAGTGTTAAAAGAGCCAAGCATACAGAGATTTTAGTAATTAAAAACTGTGGCATCAAAATAGTTTATTGGTTTTAAATGCTGTCCTTGCTAATTGGTTTATATTAGCTCTGTAAAGGCCAAAAAGATCCACAGTACATTAGTTTCACATAGTTTGGAATCAAATAGCCTGTTTGGTAGTAAAGCTGGTCTGAGCCTGTGTTGTGTAACACCCAAACTGTGTAAAACAAATGTTGTATATTAGCAATATTCTCAAAGTATAGCCAAAACTGCAAGGAATTCAGTTGTTAGTTTTAGAGGTATCTCGAAGTATTAGAATGTTTTATCTTTTTGTCAGTCAAGAAATCACCCAAGTCAATATTTCTTTACCAAATGTCCTGCTCTGGACCGCAGTCCTGGAACAACAGACCGAATAACCGCCATACCAGCCAACACTGGCATCTGTAGAGCCATAAAGTTGCAGGTTAAGTATCTTGGGTGAATGCCAGTTTCATAAAGGACATTCCCATCTGTCTACCTGTTGGTCGCACATGCTTTGTATTATTCTGTCAAACAGCCTTGGATTTCCACATCCAGTTGTAGGCGCCTCCCTCCATGCTGTGCCTTCATTCTCACTCTCACGGAAATTGGTTTGTCTGTCTACTTCACAGTTTTTTATTGGATAAAAAAAACACACTAATTGTGAATTGTGATACACATTCCGTGCCAAATGACTTTTATCAAAGGTACAAACATCTAATGGGAAATTCCTCATTTCTTAGCGTATGATAACATGATGGCTGAATGGAGACATTTTTGAGAGCAGTATGAACAAGACTGGATGTGTGATTTGGTTTTTGATGACACATTCTGGATGACAGCGGTCACAAAAGCAAAGGTTGATTACAAAAACTGCCCTTGCTGAAGGAGCTTCATCCAGCAGGCGATTGTCTGGCTCAGACCCCAATCATACATGCCTACAGCCTACATGGAAAAATTGCAATAGAAAAAATAGACCTGCTATTTCAGTATTTGATATTCTACCCTGATTAACATGCACATAGCAGTGCCAGATTCTGCTGTTAAAGTATTCCTGACCAGAATTTGAATGAGGACGATTTCATGGGCCGAAGAAGACAAATAGAATAGGTAGACAGAAAAATAAATAAGAAAAGGTATCAAGGCCCAAAACACTGAGGCTGCATACCCTTAGCTGTTATAATCGTATCACATGCCTGGCACTGTCCAAGTGTCTTTGGCCTCGCTCTATGTGAAGAGTATTTATCCACTGCTAAAAAAGTCAAATACTGTAAAAAAGAAAAACAACATAGGTTTCCTGTAGTAGATTGAGTCTGAACTGCAGCTGTGTGGCTGAGCAGCATTTAGCGGAGTGATAAACAGACAGATGATGGCCTCTCTCCTCTCCTCATTCCCTTCATTACCTTTCATTCTTTTTTCCATCCAACTCCTTTTTTTCATTATCATTTTTACTTTCATTTCATTCTGTTTTTTTCCATTGCCTTTCATTCATTACCTTTCCTTTTTGATTTCCCTTTCCTTCCATTTCCTCTCTCCATTTCCTTCCATTCTCCTTCCATCCATCATTTTCTTTCGTGTCCTTTCTTCGTTCTATTTCCTTTCCTCGTTTCTCCTCTCCTTTTCTTTCATCAGCCTATAATCTTTCTGTCCATTTATTTCTCTTCCATTTCCTTTTCTTTCAGTCTTTTCTCTTCTTACCCATCTTCTCCACTCTCAATCTGTCTTTCAATGGAGTCAGTGAAACTGCCTGCCTTCCACTGATTAGATTTATTCACTAAACCAACCTAAACTCAGAGTAATCCCAGTTTTAAAAGACATTGTCCTCTGGCCTTGCTGTTTGTTCTAACAATATTTTCCATATCAGCGGATGTCTTTCCCACCTCACCTATATTACACATTTATTACCAGAAATTATTTCCAAATATGCAACACAGTGCATTAATAGGGGTGCAAACTGTGAGAGATCAAGATTTATTTGCATCTGCTAGAGTATGAGTCAGCAAAAGCATGCCCATTTTTATTTTAATGAGGTTGCTTATGAAGTCTGGTGCGTACCACAGTGTTTTTATTAGGTGAGGGGGAAGATTGAGAGTTTGATTTAGGGTTGGTTCTCTGAGAAATGTTTTCCATATCTGTGCTCTCATCAGCCTGCAGGGAAGCAAAAGCCTGAAACTGAAAGACAATGAACAAAATGTAACATCAGCTATCTTTCTCATCATGTTTCTCATCATGTTTTTTGTGATGGCTGGCACCTTTTTCCGTGGATCCCTGACTACTCAGGGGTCAGCTCTGGAGCAAATCATCTCTGCAACAGCAAGCTGCTAGCAGGCGACATGTGGTGTTGCCTCATGTGCCCTTGGTTGTGTTTTACACTTCAGGGGTGAGAGGTATTTGTAGTGCACTTGATTTAATACAGTGCAGAGGTGTTTAAACTGTGAGCCAGTAGAGCTGAAAGGGACTGTGGAGATGATGAGGTGAACTCTTAAACATCCCAAGTCTGTACATCCATGAGAGGAACTGCTAATTCGGCATGCAACATTTTAACATACTGTATACAGTCAGCTGAAATGGGCCCCAGCATACCTCTCTGAATCCAAAACAACAGTATACCTTCTGTTTACATCCCCCAACACATCATGGGAACCATGGCTCCATGATGTGTTCCCCAAACTGAATTGAGACAAACAATATTAGGAAAAACAAAACACATTACTATTAATACTTTTTGCTGTACTTTTTGACAGTGCTAATTGAGGTGAGCCCCACGGTGTCTGGCTTTGAAAACCCACTTACTACAAACTAAACTGTGTGGACAGTCTCTTCCTTTGTGACACATTTAAAGATTTTAGCACATTTTTCTCCTCACTGTCCTGCCTGCTTGTTACCGGCTGAGAATATTTGAATCAGCATCAATCACGTGGCCTCCTCGTGGAGTAATGTCATAAAATCTAATAATGGCAGCAGGCAGCATCGACAGAGTTTATCTAGATGGAGTTTATCATTATGCCACCTGCTGCTGCGCTTCATTCGCCAATGAATGTTTTCATTGTTGAAGTAGCTGAGGTGACATGGCTGAGGTATAATCTGTTCATTTTTTACAGCATGCAGTGATTTTGGATGATATCAGTTTGAACATTTATTGCTCCTGATGTGTCAGAGATATTGTGGCAAGTGAAGAACGGTTTTGCTGTGGTTCAATATGCTTAATTGATGATAATGATTTAATATAAAGTCCATCAGTCTTTCTTTTCTTTATAAGAGGTTCTACTCCACCTAAACCCTTTTCACTAATTTTGCTCTCAGGGCATATTTTAATGAACCAGTAATGAATTAGGATTCAATATTTAGACTCGGTAGCTTGTGAGAAATAGTGTATCATATTAAGTAGGCTATCTTTGTTAGATTCATATTACATACACATCAGCTTAAGTTGCAAAATGACACTTATTCATGCTTTGTGCTTCAAAAGAGTTTTTTGTTTTCTGGCTGAAGGGTAAAACTTCATATAAACGTGATCAGCTATCTCACAGACAAGGTGTTCCTTTGTGTCTTTTCACATGTGACCTGTTGCTGATGTGCATCATGTAGTAATCCCTGAACACTGACCAGTCAAACCCATCTCCTCCCAGTGGGACAGATAGACAACTGTTATTTTATGACGCCACCGGTCCTCCTTCTCCTCCTCAGTTCCTTCTTCTCTGCGTTTCTCTCTGTGAGACAGATTAGAGGCTAATTGCCATGTGGACTAATTATCTGACTGCAACAGGCTTCTCTCTCTCATCCGTGAGCTTTCTAATGCCCTCTTTCTCATTCTGATGGCGGTCCCCAGTGACTGACTTCCTGTTCCACCAACCAGGAGGCTCCAGCTGCTTCACATCTGCTGCCTGCCTGTACCTCTTCCTCTTATTTCCTATTTTACTGTGCTGTCCTTTTTCATTTGTCTTCTTTCTTACATCATTCAGTGGCCACCAGTAGTGCCTGTTTAAAGCCTGTTTGATGTTTTGATCAAATAGGAAGGGTATTTATTGTAATGCTGATATTACTAGTCAGTTGATCGTACATTATTGATTACTCAACAGAAAATCAACAGTTTTTATTGTAATTCGATTGTTTGTTTGTCTGTAGCTCGTCTGTCTACAATAAATCAGTACCGTTC